TCAGAGAGAGAAAAAGAGGAGAAAGAGAGGGAAAGAAACATCAATGTGTGGTTGCCTCTTGTGCACCCCCTACTGGGGACCTGGCCCACAGCCCAGGCATGTGCCCTGACTGGGAATTGAACCCGCAACCCTTTGCTCCATGCTGAATCCACTGAGCTACACCAGCCAGGGCTTAAATAAATAATTTTTTAAAGTGTACATATTAACAACTTTGGCCACAGAAAAATAAAAAAATATACAAGTCAAATAGGATGTGGAAGGCTGAGTGAGAAGAAAGCAGGGAAGTTAGTATCTTTATCTGATAAAATGCTGAGTCATCTGATATTGCTGAAAATATATAAAAGAAGAAATAGACATTTAAATTATTTGTTTTAAGTAAAACAGAAGTACTAAAACAATAATTTAACTATCAGTCATGAAAAGAGATGGGTGCTATGGACTAAACCTCACCTGTCATGTCAAGGAACCAATGGGCGGCATAAATAAATGAAGACAGAGGAAAATAAAACAGTTGTTCCCAACTCTGTCTGTATGTGACTATCAGTTTAGAGACCCCCAAAAAAATGAAAATAAAATATTTTTCAATTTTATTTTTCAAATAAAACAAATAAAGTATATTTGTTTTATTTGGAAATAAAACAAAAAATAGGTTTTATGTGTGCGTTTAAGTTCTTTAGGGTGCTTCTAGCATGCAGACAGCATTGAGAATCACCGATCCAGGAAACTGGAAAACATCGCCAATTAAAGAGTTGCCCTTCTGGGAATGGGGCTGCAGGATGGGGGAGAGGTGAAAGGGAGAGGCTGAATCCTAACTTCGTATTTATTCATTCGTTCATTCAACAACTATTTGTTGAAGGCCTTCTGTGTGTCAGGCACTGCTTTAGTCCTTTTCACCACAAGCTCTCCAGTACTGGATGTCTTTCCATAAACATGTAAGTTGTTTTGATAAACTTTTTAAAAAAGATTTTATTTACTTATTTTTAGAGAGGGGAGGGTAGGAAAAAAGAAACTAAGAGAAACATCAATGTGTGGCTGCCTCTCACATGGACCCACTGAGGACTGGAAACCCAGGCATTCGCCCTAGATGGGATCGAACTGGCAACCCCCTGGTTCGCCAGCCACACCAGCCAGGGCTAATTAAATTTTTTAATGCAACAAAAAAGCATCAGCATGACCTGAATCCACACTTTTAAATACATTGGACAACTAGCAGGAACCATTACAGCCCGAGTGGAAAGGGCAGCCACTTGTGCAGGGCGATACACTTGGGAAGACAACCTTTCACAACTGGGCAGCCAGGCGGCAGGCTGCCTGGGAGAAGACAGTGGGAAGGGTATCTAAGGGAAACCATTCCCCAGCACCCCTCTCCTACCACACGATGCCGCTGAGCCAGGGCTGCCAGCTGAGTCTCAAAGTTAAGAGCTCTGAGGAGAACGGCCCCAGGGCTCCAGGACCCCACAACACAGTAGAGTAGGAGGGGGAGGATAGAGTGGGGCAGGAAGGGACAAGGTCTCAATGCGTTCATTCAGCGCAGCCAAGGGTAAGCACCTACACAGGCTGCTTAACCAGTAAGTGAAATATATGACCCCTTGATCAAAATTGCAGCCTTGCTTCAGGCCATTTTGAAATAACATCAATGATTAGTTCAAACTCCGGCAAGGATTATTTGACAATAACCTAATAAAAAGGCACGTGTGAGGGCACCTGTGAGGGCTGGGAGCTCACTCAGGAGAGAAGGTGCCAGAGAGAAGAAAAGGGAACCAAGTGGGGAGACCCTCCAAACAAACGTCACTTACTTCAAAAAGAGTTTAGGGCCACCCCTGCCTGTGCCAATCAACTGCATAATGAGATGCAAAGCTCTTTCACTAATTAACTCATTGTCTCCTGGGAAATATAAAGTCTAGTACATCATCTGCCATTAGGAAGACAGATTACAAGAGGTGCAGAAAAGGAAAGAACTCGACTGAGTATGCTGAAAACAAGAGGTGTGTTTTGCATTCTGGAACTCAACATAATAACTATTTATTATGCTTGACCAACTAAACGATGAAACATTTGAGGTCATGTATCTATTTCATAACTCTGGGCCTTCGCTCAGTGCCCTGCACAGAGAAGGTGCTCAACAGATGTTGTTGATTGTGATTGTAAAGATGCAGTTGCAGGAGAGGGTGGAGAGAATGAAACAGAAAAGAGAGGGTTAGGTGAACCGTTGGCTAGCCTCTAAGTTTAAGGACAGCTCTACCTTTTAGTTTGTTTCGAAAACAGCTCTCCTTTATTTAAAGTTGTAAAATAGCAACAATAAGGCACATCCACATATTTTGAACTCTTGGTATAGAACCTTATCAAGAGCCTGGAGATACTCTCACAATTGGAGGTGAGAATATAAATTCATACAATATCTCTAGAGGGCAACCTATCTATTTACCAAATTTTACAAATCAAGGTTATTTGTTGTAGCGTTGGTTTCAATATTATGTGATGGGAAACAACCCAAATATACATCAATAGGAAACTATTTAAATAAAATGATGGTGTACCCACACAATGAAATACTATGCCACTGTAAGTAAGAATAAGGAAGCTGTTTCCTGGAGGAGGACAGGGAGAGTTGGTAAGCCTTAAAAGAAAAAAAAGAAAAAAAAAGGAAAAATAAACATCCAGGCACTCTCAAGGGAAGAAAGCAGCTAAATCACTAGACTCTCTTCGGACCACTACAATACTGTATTACATTTATGCTTGTTATACACAGACACACCTAAAAATATATTGAAATACATAGATTTTTTTGGAACTTCTTCCCTTTCCTATCAATAGTTATTACATTTTTAGAAGCGGGCAAGGCCATTTTGTTTTTACACATTTTTGTTTTCCCAAGAGTTTCTAATTTCCCTTAAATGACAATTCGGATGGTTTCTCTGGACTTTCCAAGATTCTACCCACCCCCTCAACTTTTCTAAGAAAAATTGGCTTTAGTTCCCTATACAAAAATTCTGTTTTATTTTTCCCCCAGAGTTGTTCCTACATGTAAACTTCCCCAAAGTAATAGATGAATTTTGGCCAAGCCACTTCCCGCTTGTTGGCTAGTGATTCCACTCTGCCAGGTCCCACTGGGAGGTGGGATAACGGGCCTTCTCCATAATCAGTTTCCCAGAGTTTAATGGTCAGTACTTGAACTTGTTTTTAATTAAGGTGTTGTTTTGGTTTATTTTAGAGAGAGAGGGAAAGGGAGGGAGAAAGGGAAACATCAATGTGTAGTTGCCACTCAGGGGCCCCCTGTTGGGGACCTGGCCCACAACCCAGGTATGTACCGTGACACGTGCCCTGACTGGGAATCGAACTGGGACCCTTTGGTTCTCAGGTCTGCACTTAATCCACTAAACCACTCCCCTCCCGCTGCTTTCGTCGTCACGTTGCGCAGCCCTGAGTCAGTTCCGTTCCAGGAAAACGCGCGCTCCAGAGCGAGCGGGGTGGAAGAGGTCACATGGACCTGCTGTGGCCAATGGGGAGGAAGTACATGCGGAGGTCGTCTCCCGCCAGCAGCGGCGGGCGTTTCTGCTTCCATTCACCCCTGGGAGTGGGAGGCAGGAAAACTCGGTACCGGGAATGCACTGCAGGGCGCCTCCGATTAACCTAGCTTCAGCGTTCTCCACGCCAGAATAACAACTCCGTGTCCTTCTCGTACCCCCTCTTTCAGTCTGCACAGCCCACATTTCTTCAACGTTGTCATAAAACGTAAGGGAGAATCGCGCTGCTGCCTTCTGGGCCAGAGAGTATGCAAAGAAGGGGGGGGGGCTGGTGTGTGCTCCCACCTCTAAACTGGGGAGCTGCCGTTGTCTGCACACCGGTGGCCCCCCACGCTAAAATACCCGTCACAAATAAGATTTTGCATATGGCGTAAAACGAGAGTTCTAGGCACGAAAACAAACGTATACATTAGGTTGTAGGCTATTAACTGCATAGACCACAGGTAGTGGCATTATTACTTCACCATTTCTCCTTCTGAGGTGAAATTGGAAAAGCACTTTGGGTAATCGTGGCAACCGCCCACAGAGCACCTGTGGACATCAGCTTCACAGAGGATCACGCGGTACAGGGAGTGTGAAAATATACTGGAAAAGGTTTGCAGTAAAATATAAGTTCTAGAATAGTAATGGTTCAACAGCCTTGTAAATATACTAAAAACTACTGCACTGTGCGCTTTAAAAGGTTGAATTTTATTGTGTGTGTATAGTGTACATCTCAATTTTATAGTGTATAGTGTATACTGTACATCTCAATTAAAAATATATTATTCACAGGTGACAGAATCTCAGGCTCTGAGAATTTTTGGCGCCTGCACAGGTGAAAATTCAATATTTTAGTCAATTGAGTTCTTTCTGAAAAATGGATGCCATCTTTGGTATGGTGACCAGACACAATGCTTGAAATTTCCTCTTTCTCAGTGGCATGTGATTCTTTTAGAGTTGGAGAAGAGTTTAAGATTAGTTTTAATAATACCTTTTATATGTCTTGCATATTTTAATCTATAAGTCTAAAAACCCATAATGCTCTTCAAAACCTAAGACTAATTTTTCAATAGTCTGAGACATTTAGAAATCATACATTTTTGCAAAACAAAACTTCAAGTTTATCTTTCCTTCAATTGTTTTCTGTACTGGCAAAATCAAGAAGGAATCTAAAATGAATTTTTCCTACCTTAAGAATGCAGACATCGTCAGGTCAAATTTAAAGACAAATTTTTCTTAAATTTGACCTATTTAAGTTGCTTTGAGATCATCTTAATTTGTTGTCTTGTCAATCATTCGGGGCTAATAAAAACTAAGAAATTTAATACCATGAAGCAAAAAACAAAGTCAGTTTTAGATTTTTAGCATATGGAACTCTGATGAATAGATTTACCACTAACCTCTTACAGTTCAATGCCCAAGTTTGTGACCTTGATACCAAGAAAAATACATGCTAAGTAGAACATTTCTCTTCGTTCCATACAAATATCTTACCTGGGTTCCTTGACATGGCTGCAACTGGCTGGTTGCCGGCAAGTCTGGTCATGTACGCCTTCTGAAAACTATATTTCACCCACAGTGATTTGCAACAATTTGTTACTTTGGAAGAGGGATTCAGGAGTTCTTTAGGTTCACAAACAATAGTATTACTTTTTATCTTCTTCATGTTTTTTCCCTGTTGAAAAATATATTTTCAGAAGATTTCCCTCATATCTCAGTATTATTGGGTGTGTTAGCAATGCTCTAACAATGCAAGCAGCCTTTCTCCCATACATAAAAGGGTTGTGGATTTGGGTGGAAGATGGAACAGGGTGATCTCTAAGGCTTTGTTCAACTTACGAAAACATCTATGTTGTTTAGATCTTAGATCTGCTACACCACCCCACATCCTCATCACCCAGCAGCTTTCCTTCATCTCTTCAATAGCCACATTCCCCAAATGGAACTGTCAAAATAGTACATGTAAGAAAAGAGACAAACTAGTGTAGCCAAAAGAAGCATAGATCAAAAACCTAGAGAGGTGGTGAGGGTTAGAGATGGAATACATTCCTTGTCCTACACCTGTGCGTGTTCCCTCTCCAGAATGATACTTGTCTTCTCTCTTCAGTCCTCCACGTACACACCGTCCATCTCTACAATCTCCACAGATGCTAATGAAGGCTATTCTCCACGCCCACACCCTTTTTTCCTAATATTATAGTACCAATCCCATAAATTGAAGAATTAAACTAAGACTTTCATTGTCTATCAAGTGTACTTAATTCTCTTGACTTAAAGGTTTGTCAAGAGTTTGATTTTCTATTTTACCTGCTAAATCTAAGCAGTTACTGGAGAGAAAAGGAATGAATAAGACAAGTGTGACCATAAAGAACAAGTAAAGAAGGTAACAGGGGAGGCCTTCAGGAGCCTTAGATCAGTGTATGCAATAAAAATATATGAACCGTGCCCTGGCCAGGTTGCTCAGTGGGTTGGAGCATCATCCTGGACACTAAAAATTTGTGTGTTCAGTTCTCCGTCAGAGTATATACATCTAGGTATTGGGTTCCGACCCTGGTCTGGGTGCGTGTGGGAGGCAACAAATCAATGTTTCTCTCTCACATTGATGTGTTTCTCTCCCTCTTTCTCAAATCAATAAAAACATATCCCTGGGTGAGGATTTACACACACACACACACACACAGAAATATATATCCCTGGCCACTTAGCTCAGTTGTTAGAGTGGGTTCAATCTTCTGGTCATGGCACATATAAAAATCAACCAATAATGTATTAGGCCCTGGCTGGTATAGCTCAGTGAATTGAGCGTGGGCCTGCAAACCAAAGGGCTGCCAGTTCAATTCCCAGTCAGGGCACATGCCTAGGTTGCAGGTGAGGTCCCCAGTTGGAGGCACGTGAGGGGCAACCAACCTCACATTGATGTTTCATTCCCTCTCTTTCTCCTTCCCTTCCCCTCTCTCTAAAAATTAATAAAATCTTTAAAAAAACAGAAGGAAAAAATTTTTTAAATGAACCAATAATGTATCAATATGTGGAACATCAAAACAATGTTTCTCTCTGTTTCTCCCCTTCCTCCTTCTCTTTAAAATCAATAAAAAATAAAAATATATGAATCATGTAATTTTGTTTTCTAGTACACTTAAAAGAAAGGTAAAATTAATTTTAATAATATAGTTTATTTAACTAAATATATCCCAAAATAAATCTTCAACAGGTAATTGATATAAACATTATTAATGAAATATCTTACATTCTCATTAAAGTAAGTCTTCAAAATCTGGTATTTATTTTACACTCACATCTCAATTTGGACTAGCTGCAATTCGGATGCTCAGTAGCTACATGTTGCTAGTGACTGCTGTGTCAGACAGTACAGACAATAAAGCTATATTTCATTTTTAAGTACTTCAGCTTTACAGGAAGAAGCGAGAATTGAAAAGAAATTTGAGAGAAAGGCAATAAGCAACTGTCTTAGCCATACAAGCCAAGGCAAGGGAAATCATCAGGTAGAATTCTGACTCGTCACTTTTCAAATGTATCATGTTTTCCAGTGGAACATGCTACTTCGGTATCTGGATTATTGTAATTTGGGCCGATTAAGGGAGAGGGAGCCACGGAATGATGGGTTGTGAGTTCTCTGGTGCTTGGACACCCTGCCATCTTAACTACACTCGTCAGGCAACTTTCTTACCTTAAATTAATTTCTCAAGTAAACTTTCCATTGGGAAAAGGACACGCTGTCCAGCTAATGCATCAGAGCCAGGTCAGCCCTGAATAAAATTATTAAATTACTAACTGGGCAAAGTTGATAGCCAAGATGCAGTTGCCAGCTGAGGGTCTTATCTGAAAGAGCCAGCTGACAGCTTTACCTATCAGCCCATTGTGACATCTCATTGCTAGGTAACTGAGAATGTAAAATATCAAACCATGGGCTTTCAAAATAAATTATTAAGAATGTTGTACTTGGTTATCCCCAAATAGGTTATTATAATTTTCCCCAAATAATTCTGCAGGATGTTAAGAGGTATTTATTGAAAAAACAACCAATGCTAATTATAATCTATTTTCACCAATTTATTTTTAAATATATGTAATAAAAATACTTTTTATGTAGTTGTTAGTATTCTTGAATAATTGCTTTTAGGAAATGTTAGGTCGGAGTTGCTCAAGAAACTGGATAATGCAGAGAGCTGAGGAGAACAGGGTTTATTAGTGGGAATAAGAGGGAAAGTGGAGCCAACCGAGGGAGGTTGAGGAGCCAACCAAGGGAGGTTGGGACTCACTAGGTTGTTCTTAGGTCAGGGTTTTTAAACACAAAAACCTGCCAAGGGTATCGGAATTTGATTGGCTAGAGCTGGTTGCTGGGTGCAGGCTCAAGTTAAAGCTGCATCCTGTTATACCAAATAGGCCAAGCCCTGACCCGAATTTTCCTGGGTAGGGTCTGCAGGCGGCTTTCCACTGTGCCATTTTCTAGCCTGGTGATTTTCCATTCCTCTTAGGCCTGCCTGGGTCTGTCAAGAAATGGTGTGCCTACCTGAAAACACCCGGAAATCTCAGAATTCATGAAAGCATGATAATGGATTTGCACATGGAAGCCTAGGCTACTGTTGAGTTGATAATGTTGTTTATTTAACAATCATTGGTTTATGTTAGTTTTCTTGTCTTATTATTTCAATGTATATAGATGATATTTTTCACTTACTAAAGTTATTTCTTTCAAAGTTTAGAAAAGTTTCATTTTTCAGATAATGCATTTTTGTAAATTAAATGTATTGTGGTAGCTTTGATTAATGGAATCACATAGTTTCAAGTGTACATTTCTATGATCGAGATCTGTATATTGTTATTTTTATCTATTTGTTTGGAGGGTTTTCAATACAAAGTTTAAAATATTTGAGTGAAGGTTTTATCATTTGTTTCAGCATTTAGTTCACCTGTGTCTGTGTGGTAGGCTAAATGATGGCCCTCCAAAGATGTCCACATCCTAGTGCCCCAAGATGAATGAATAGTTTACCTTACATGGCAAAATGGATTTTGCAGATATGATTAAATTAAGGCTGTAGAAGCAGAGATGATCCTGGATTAATGGGGCCCAACCTGATCCTATGTGTTCTTTTACGAAGAAGGTAAGAGGGCCAGAGCCAGAGAAGGAGGTGTGACAATGGAAGTAAAGGTCAGGGTGATGTGAGAAAGGCTCTATGAGCCAAGGAATGCAGGCGACATCCAGAAGCTAAAACAGGCAAGGAAACTGAGGAGTGCAACCTGCTAACCCAGTTTAGACTTCTGACCTCCAGAAATGTAAGATGATCCATTCATAGTTTTTAGGTCACTCTGTCTGTTGTAATTTACCACTGCAGTAGGAAATGTGTACTCTATGTTAACCTGAGTACATACTAAATTTTAGTTGGTACATTATAATTTTAAATGTGTTCATTGTTAAATAAATTTGGACATAGACAAGAGTCCATATTAGAGTATAGTGCTTCTATAACAATAGCTAGACAATAATAATAACTAGAATTGTTAAATTCTAAATACTTATCGGCAGTAGCAACTATATATTAAGCTACAAATCTTCACAGTAAGCAATTAATGTTGATCAACAATGAAAAATATTTATTGATCCCCTATTGAATAGCGGGCATTGCACTTGAGACACTGGGTATATAGCAGTCAACAAGATAGAAATGGTCCCTTTCCTCATGGAGGTGACAGTCTAGCAGGGGAAATAGGCATATACAAGGTATGTTCAGAATGTATCCAGCCATGTAATATGAAAAATATAGACATTTATTGAAGAAGATATAAGACACAAGAAACATTGTACATAGGGCAATGATGCTGCAGTCCCCTTCAAAGTAGGTACCTTGGAACTTCATACAGTTCTCCCAGTCACCATCAGCTGCCCCATCGTATTTTCCTGAATTTTATTGATAGTCTGAAATCTCCTCCTTTTCAAAGATGACTTGGCTTTGGGAAAAGCTAGAAATCACAGGCTGTCAAATCTGGGCTGTGGTGGGGCTTAGTCACCAGGGTGATTTGATGTTTCCCAAAAAACTCTGCATGAGTTTCGATGCATGAGTGGGCATATTGTTGTGATGAAGCTGCCAATCACCAGTTGCCCATAGCTGCGACCTTCTGAATCATCCAGTTTCTGTGGAGTAGTGTTCAAGCTTAATGCAAAATTTGATGCAGATTCATTGCTCTACTCAGTCATTTTTAATGTGATGGCCACACAGTACATGTACTCACTGACAATGGTGTCTACCATCCCCACTGACTAATACAATGAAGTCATCATTGTTTATACATGCCCATTCCAGTCCACTCTCCTTCACTGCCAGGTTATGTTGATATCACACAAACTGTTCTTGTTATATGAATAATGGTTGGGCTTTTTCTAGACAGACCTTGTATGCTTAATTAGAGTGGTGGTCGGTGCCACTACTCTAGGTGGTAGGTGTTATGAGAACAAATCATGGGGAGTGGACCTAACCTGGTCCAGGTAGTCAGGAAGGACTCGTCTAGGCATGACGTTTAAGCTGAGACCTAAAAGATGACCTGAAACTGTCCGGAATGGTAGTTGAGGAATGGAAAAAGGCTATCAGAGAGCTGGGACACCCGGTGCTCAAAGGCAGTAAGGAATTCAAGGCATTTGAGGAACCAAAT